ATTCTACTTTATATACATTCAAATCTTCTACTGATTAACAAAGAATTAAACCATTTTTAACACGATAGGAAATCTCGAAGTCTAGTATGTCGACAGAGGGGGATATGCAAATTTTAAAATTAAAGAAAGAAAACAGAAAGAAAGGCACCATCGCTAACATAAACTTTGTTTGTTTAGGGACGACTTATTAGGGGCAGTGGAGTGTACTTAACTTTCAGCTACCGTCGTAGCCGAACAAGGTTCATTTCAGTGCACTTCCCATTTTAGGGTACCAGTCTTTTCAGCTCTACCTCGGAAGCATTAGCTGCTCTGCCAAAGCCCCAGCCTGGATGGAATGCGTTGAGAACTAGAGCGGCAAGAACAATCATAATGCTCTCAAGGCCAATAAAGAGCGGCTCATCTTTGAGCAGGGGCCCATCCCAGCCACCCGAAAGTTCTGCAATTCGATAAACGCATCGGATAAAGATAAACAGAGTTGCCAGGCAGAGGGCAACAAGGAAGCTACGGAAAGCGAATGATGAACGGAGAGCAGCGTGGCCGGGATCAAGAGCTTCGACACCAATTGATCGCATGCGGCGCAACGTTCGGATAGCGAAGTCGACAGCGAGCAGGATGAAAACGGTTAAAATGGCGACTTGCCAAACAACACCGGCAATCATGAAGTTTGTGCCTATCTCTGCTAAAGAAGTACCGGGATCGGCGGAACTAGCGAGCCCGCCTCCAGCGCCTTGGAGGGCCAGTGCGAGGATGTCGCAGGGAATGAAAATTCGCGGATACCAAGCTGCGGGAATGCGGGAATTTTCGCGACCGAACGTTGTGACGATTCTTGAGAGGCAGAAGTATATACCGGCGGCGAGGAAGGCTGGTGCAATTGTCAAGCAGCAAATTTGGATCATAAACGGATTCTAGGTTCGGGAGATGTTAAAATCACTCCGTCGATACAATATATTGAAAAATTCAATTCACTTACTTGTGCCCACGGGTTGTTGTACATTAAGATCCGGCCAATGTACCCAATTAGTTCGCACAGAGTACCAAGGATCATTGCGATAGAAAATCCTATAAACCTCCTCGAAATGAAGGATTGTAGGACAAATGCAGCAAGGGAGAAACCGAAAATTGCAGCAAAAGCAATATTTGCCGCGCGTGACGGGCGGTAGCCATAGAAAGAGTCGTCAATGTTGCATATTTCGAAAGTGCACGAGTCTCCATCTATTTCACGACGGGCAAGCGCCGAGAGAAGTGAGGCAAGCATTAATGATCAAGCAAGAGGAAATCGTTTGTTTTAAGAAGGGTATCAAGAAGTAATGATTTCCCTAACTATAAAAATCCAAAAGTTGATTGTTTGTGGAGAGAAAAGAAACTTCTCATTAGAAGGGGCAGTCCTGATATTTATGTCCTTGATATTGAAAACACACATCGCTCCCTTGTACTATATATAACTGGCACGAGCGGTAGCCCCTCATAGTCATGCTCTTTTTGCTCAGAGCAAAATACTTAGCCTCAGCCAATTGGAAAAGCTCTGCGTCATATGGAAAACGTCATGAGCACATTTTTGCATCGGAGATTGATTATTCCCACTTTTTTTTGATGTTTTTTATTTCCCTTTTGTTTTTGACGTTCAAAGTCTCGCACGTAAGATTTGACGGCCCCAGGAAGACACTCGCCAATTTGGAGTTGCCTGATGTTGAAACAAGCCACATCTACCGGGATGGAGTCAGCATCAGCCCTGTAACTGTTGTGCAGGGTTCACGCGTCAAATCCACGGACTTCTCCTGTTGTGGTTAAAAAATGGGAGAGGCTGTAGGAGCCAAGCCATTAAGGTTGAGTTTAGGACTTTGGCGTTGGAACAAGAAGGGTCTTCACTCAGGGAGCCATCAGAAGTGTTTGAGTGGAATAGAGGATGGCTCAAAAGGGGATAACATCCATTGGACCAATGTTGTGGCTTTCCCTTTGGCTGGGGGTAAGGCGAACTTTCCCACGACATAGTCGACATCGTAGTGGGTTGGAGTTCCCGTGGACGGAGTCGTCAAACACGAGACACGGCATTATTTTTATCCCGAACGCATGGATGCTATTTGACCGACTCCGCCAGCCTTGACAGTGACGCCGCCTCTGAAGCTACCATGTGGCTTGATCGATGCTCGTCAACCACAGCAAGCAGCGGGCCTTGTCTGGGACCGTTTACAGCAACGACCAGGATCCTTCAGGGATCACATTGACAACTGGCGCAATTGCAGGTATGGTACAGATGCACACCGTAGCGAGTTCGGATATCCGACACTCCTGGACAAAGTCCTTCTCGCTGTCAATTATCGCAAGCGATGCCAAGATCCTCATTCCGTTGCACACGTACACTAGCGCCGTGTCGGAAATATTGCAGCCTGTTCGGCACTCTTTGGCGGCCGGCACCTCTGTGGTCGGTCGGCCGTAACGCTGATTGAACGAGGCGCATAATTGGCGATTTCGCTGCGGATGCGAAACCACGATTCCTCCTCACCATGCTTTGTCATGGGGTAGCAGGTCTAGATTTTTAGATTTTTATTTTTATTTTTATTTTTATTTTTTTTTTTTTTTTTTTAGGAGCAAATCGAATTAATATGCGCAGACTCCTTGCTCTTTCATTGTGTTCTTTGGCCGAGTGGAAGGTCATTGAGGAGAGTAATGAGACAAGTTGTTCAAGGCATTGTGATCTCTCGCTCTTGGTGGGGGTGCCCAAAGGAGAGAGATCATTGGGATGTTACTTCGCTGTTTGAACCAGAACATTGGAAGAACGTTCTTGGATATCGCAGATCGTTCTGACAGACAAATGGACATCCCTGCATCGACGTATTCTTATTCTGGAATCGTATTCGTACCTGCTCGATCTCCCTAGAGCTTCTCGTTGGCGATCCGCTCCTAGTCAAGGACCAGGTTCTCTTCAAACTCAGCCCAACTCGTTCAAGGATCATATCTGTTCTCTCAAAGGATCATGGTATCGCTTCCTCGCGAACCCTTTACTCTTCTCTAATGTTCTAGTCGAATGCACAGCTATTCGCTAC